CCCCAAAAAAAAAAAAAAAAAAAAAAAGTACTTGAGGGTTCATGAGAAGACCCAGGTAGACACCCAGCTGACTCAGCTTCCTGATGTCCTTTCATTCAGCAAACATTTCCAGTGGTTTTTTCTTGTTTGTTTGTTTGAGTTGGAGTCTCACTCTGTCGCCCAGACTGGAGTGCAGTGGCCACTCCTGGCCACCGCAGCCTTGACCTCTGGGCTCCGGCGATCCTTCCGCCTCAGCCTTCCGAGTAGCCAGAATTACAGGCGCGCGCTACCACGCCCGGCTGATTTTTTTGATTTATTGTAGAGATGAGGTCTCGCTGCCCAGGCGGGTCTCGAACCCGCGGGCTCAGGCCATCCACTCACCTCAGCCTCCCAAAGTGCTGGGATTACAGGCTGAGCCACTGAGCCCGGCTTCCAGTGTTTTTTTATGGGGTTTTTTTTGGCTGTGTGGGGAGCTGGAGCTCCCACAATGCATAAGGAGGCCAAGGTCATGGCTCCCACAAAGCACTCTGCCTGTGGGGAGACGAGAGGAAACACCGAAACCCACAAGAGAACAAGGTGATCCCAGAGGCCCACGAAGCCCAGAAACAGGGAGTGTGGCAGAGAACGGCAGAGGGGTGCGGCCTTGGAAAGGGACCATCGAGACCTGAGTGCCAAGGGAAAGCCCACCCTGGGAAGCAGAACAGCAAGTGGAAAGGCCCTGAGGTGGGACTGCAGGAGGCCAGGGTGGCTGGAACAGAGTGAACGAGGGGTGGGGGAGAAAGGCAGAGAGAGGAGGTGGGGGAGGTGTGGGTGCCGACAGTGCCGCCCATGGGGTGCGCGGCAGGGAAGGCTTTGACTTTGACTCTGAGTGAGGCGGAAGCCATGGAGGGTGGTGAGCAGGGAGGAACAGGTTCGGGTGTTTATGGATCCCTGTGGCTGCTCAGTGGGGAACAGACTAAGGGGTGCCGGCAATGATGGGAGCAAGAGGCCATGATGGGGCAGCTGAAATCGGCTGCCAGGGGAAGGGGAGGGTGAAGGGTTTGCAGTCAGTCTTGAATTGGTAAACGTTCAACAACAGCTCTCAAAAAGAAAAAAAAAAGTGCTGCATGGCAGTAACTGCCCATTTCTGTAAATTTTCCTACCGTGGCCAATTTTCAGCTCTCATTGTGATGTCACACAGATGAGGGAAAATATTTTCAGCCGCACATCGTCCTATCATACAAGATTTCCGCCAAGCAGGTAACAACAGATAAAAGGACCTTCAAGAGCACAGATGTCCGGGCGTGGTGGCTCAGGCCCGTGATCCCAGCATTTTGGGAGGCCGAGACAGGAGGATTGCTTGAGCCCAGGAGCTCAAGACCAACCCGGGCAACATAGCAAGGACTTGTCTCTACAAAAAATCAAAAAAGTTAGCTGGGGGTGGTGATGTGTGCCTGTAGTCCCAGCTACTCAAGAGGCTGAGGTGGAAGGATCACCTGAGCCCAGGAGGTCAAGGCCTCGGTGAACTGTGATACTGCACTCCAGCCTGGGTGACAGAGTGAGACCTCAACTCAAAAAAATCCCCCAAAAACGTTTATTGCTGGCTAGGTGCAGTGGCTCATGCCTGTAATCCTAGCACTTTGAGAGGCTAAGACAGGAAGATCACCTGGGGCTAGGAGTTCGAAACCAGCCTGGGCAACATAGCAAGATCCTGTGTCCAGGAAAAAAAGTGCAAATGATCACCTGAGCCTTTATTGAGCTGTGATCTTCTTGCTGCTGGGGATCTTGCCCCAGTGTTGATGGCTGTTGACTGGTCAGGGTGGTGGTTGCTAAGGTGAGGGCAGCTGTGGCAATTTCTTATCATAAGACAGAGACATTTGTGATGTCCACTGATTCTTCCTTTCACGAAAGATTTCTCTGTAGCGTGTGATGCTGGTTGATAGCATTTTACTCACAGCAGAATGTCTTTAAAAACGGAATCCAAGCCGGGCTTGGTGGCTCAGCCTGTAATCCCACGCCTTTGGGAGGCTGAGGTGAGTG